AACAGTTTTGCATTATTTTGAGTTTTATTGCTGTGATTTTCAGAAATTTTTATTTTTATTCATTTATTTAAAATAATAAAGCCTGACAGTAAAAACCAAATAATAAAAATTAAACTTTTGCTGAAAGCACTACCAAAATTTCCAATTACAAAATTTAATTTTAATTCAAATTCAAAGTTTGTACATTTTTCTTCTAAAAATAAATTATTATCCAATTTTTGCGTTTATTATAATAATAATAATAATAATAATAATAATAATAATAATAATAATAATAATAATAATAATAATAATAAGAATAAGAATATGCTAATAAGCAGAATATTTCAAAGTGAAACAATATTGAAATTTTGAAATTAGACTTTTTAAAATAAATTAAATATGTATTTAAACAATGGTTTCTTATAGTTAATTAATTAAAACATTTTCAATTAACAACACTTCATGAGTTTTTCAATTTAAAAAAAAATAGGTCGAAAAATTCATGAATAATAAATGAAATTAATAATACAAAAGTAAAAAATTATTAAGCGCTAGAAAAGAAAAGTTTGTCGACGGAATAAAGTTTATTTTTTCAAAAAAAAAAAAAAAAAGCGAGGAATCGAGTAATTTGTCTTGCCTGACATCAATATTTAATGAAAAGTAAATATTGAAACTGAAAGCATTTATTTATCTCCTAATTTAGCATTCCTGTTAACTCTACGTCAATAAGTATCTTTGAGATAATCTGATGATGAAAAATTTCTCACCTTTTTTTTTTTTTTTGTCAAATGATACTAATAAACACAGGTAGGTAAAAATAACTGAATTACATATAGAAGAAAAATAACAAAAATATACAAATCGTATAATATAGAATTTGAATTTTTTTTCTACGAAAAAAAAAGAATAATTTGAAACGATGCTGAAGTTCACAACGTTTATTATCAACGATTTTTAAGGAAATATTTTGTTAAATGAAAAATAAAATCTAATACAAAAATAAATAAATAAAATACGAAACCTTTTATAATTTTCTTCCTTAAAACAAATTTCTAATCGTTTATTATAAATGTTATGTACTTCAGTTTCGTCGTTTGAATACAATGTGTAATTGTTTTTTTAGAATTTACTTGACCCGGTAAAAGTACTTCTTAAAGTAATTTTCTGAAGTGGTTCTCTTATACAGAAGGTAGAAAATTTTCATTCATCAAAGATGATCTAAATGTAAAAATATGAATATTCGTGAAGCTAATCTTCTCCCTTTTTTTTATATAAAAGCTTTTCATTTTAGCGACTCTTTATTAATATTTTATTTTCTATTTCTTAATATTTTTTTTTTCAATTAAAAAAAAAAAACTTATTAATTTAAATTTCAGAAAGAATATTATAAAATAAGTATCTAAAATGAGAATTAAAAGATAATATCAATTTGTGAAATTATTTTTCTTTCATGAAAATAGCGTGTTATAATGCTAATTTCATCATATAAGCGCGTGCTGCTGGCAGCAAACAATTCTTTACACTGTTTTCAACGCGTTTTTCCTTCAATTTTTCCCCCATAATCCTCCCTCGTTTATGCATTCAACTGCCTTCAAAAACACCTGGGAATATATAGTCAATTGCTTATTATCCTTTTGTTGACATAAGTCACCTTATTATCGGAAAATGGATACATTAAAAAAAAGAGAGAGAGAAAGTTTAATAATATTTTTAAATATTATAATTTAATAATTTTGACAAATAAAATAAATTATCTGTATGTTGGACTATTTATTTATTGCCTCATTCCTATATGCATAATGTATGATATGTTTAATTTTTGACATAATGGAAATTAAATTCAAATAAAATGAATGAATTTCTTTTCCACTTGTGTTTGAATAAATAAATGCAATTTCATTTATACTTCCATAACAGAAAAAGTCAAACAATTTCAATTGTAAACAAAAAAAAAAAAAAAAAAAATACAAAAATGGTAAATTTAAAATGATTTTTAAAACCGCGCTTCGTTCACGCGATTTTTATTTACAAGACTATTTATATTATACAATTTTTTTTTTTACTATATATTTTGATTAATATGTGATTTTCTATTTTTTAAAAAAGCATTGAAATTCAATCGAATGGAAAATCGTAAGATAGATCAATCTCTTGGTTTGCTTCAAACAAATTATCTTTATAGAAAAATCGTACGCTACATAAACTCAAATTTAAATTCTTTTTTATATATATATATATATATATATATATATTGGAAAAAGATATTTAAAATGAACAAAAGTTGGCAAAAAAAATACAATGCTTTGAAAAATATATTATCTCTTGTGTATGGAAATAATAATATATTGATAATATTTTATTTAATATAGAAAAAATTTATGAGATTTTCATTGAAAAATTCTAATTTAACTGGAACATTTTTTTTCGAAATTTTTATGAAAAATAAGAAAATACGTATTTTTTTCTTTCTTTATTTGATAAAAATTATAAAAGTTGTGATTTTTTTTTTAAATTTAACGTCGTCTGAAGCCGAATATTTTAAAAATGCGTTTTTCTCTGTCATATTGAGAGATAAAAAACAATATTAAATATGAAATTTGTTCGATTTTTCTTTAATATTTTTAATATGTAGTAAAAAATACCGTAACTACAATGAAAGCATCTAAGAAATTATTATTTATCAGAGAATTACAAAAAATTTGCGCAAAAATCGATCACTTCGATTTTGAGAAAAATCACTTTTTAGACAAAATTTGCAATTTTAAAATGCTTCCGTTGATATTTTTTTTACTACATATTAAAAATATTATTAAACAAGAATCGAATAAACATAGTATTATTTTTTATCTTTTAATAAGGCGTTTTAAAACGTATTTTGAAAGTATTCGGCTTCTAACGAAGTTAAATTAAAAAAAAATTATAACTTTCATAATTTTTATCATATAAAGAAATAAAAAAATACGTACTTTCTTATTTTTCATAAAAATTTCGAAAAAAATATCATAGTAAAAAAAAAATTTTTGAATGAAATTCTTACATGGAATTCCCCATATATAAATAAATGGCATCTATAGTAAGATTGATATACGAAATAAATGGAATTTAGAAGATTTTTTTTTTATAATATATATATATCGAGACTAAAATCACGTTTTTATAGGTGATTTGTCAAGAGAACAAATCTAGGAAAATGGTCGTTCATCGTTTGTTCGAAAGACGAGAAGAAATAATTTCCAGTTTTGCGCTGTATTGCGTCGTCCCACAATGCATATAATCCCCCATTTTTTCCGTTTCAAGTAATTCTGATTAATCTCTCTATACTCTGATCACATTTTATCCAACAGCAAAAATTGTCAATCGCTTTCAGTAAAAAAATAAAGAAAGTTTTAATATTTTTTCTTTGCATTATATTAACAAATATAATAATAAACATTTTTATTTTCTTCTTAAATTGATAATATTTTTCGACAAAACAAAAAGAAAGGTACGTTTAAGATTTTTTAAAACCGTTATTTTTATTTTACATTTTCTGATTATAAATTAGAATAAATGAAAAAAAAATTATTTATCTAAAAAAATATGTCAATCTTAAGCAGGATGGAGGTCCTAACATAACCTTAAAACTGAAAAATGCTTTTTAATGCAAACAAAAATTTAATAAAAATTAATTTCAAAGAATTTTATAAGATATAGTTTTTTTTCAATTTTTTGAAAAATATTAAATTGATTTAAAATCTTTTGTTAAATAATTTTTGACGTGACAACGTCTTACTCCGAGGTCTAGCGAGCCAGTCAGAAAAATTGGCGTTTATATCGCCGGCCAGAATTCGAAAACTATAAGTCATATTTTCAAGATTTTTGGGTTATTTGATTACTTTCGATCTAATCTCGATGTCAAACTTATTTTTGTTAAATTTGGAAATGAAATTTTTTTTATAGTTTTCTATGTTACCGACCGGTTAAAGATTTAACATGTTAGTATACAGCGCCACTGCTGACAGTATCCACTATACCTATATAGGTATAAAAGTCAAAATAAACATGGCTGCCGATGCTGCCACTTTGTTTTGTTTTCGTATCGTTATTCGAGGAACAAAATGTAGAGCGATCCGCGATCGTGTAGTGTAGTGAGGTGTTGGTCTGTGTACATAGTATAGTCACAGTATTATTGCCAATTGCTGAAATTTTGCACTGGAATAATATCAAAACATAACCTCAATCATAGATGTATTCTGTTCAAGAATTGTTATAATTAACTGGTCCACGACAATTCTTGAACAGAGTAAATCCACAATTGAGGTTATATTTTGATATTATTCCGGTGCAAAATTTCAGCAATTGGTAATAATGTGGCATTACATTTTGAATATTTTTAAATTTAATTGTTTGGAAATTATTGTTAATTTATTCTAATTTTATGCACTGAAAAAAAATTTATTTGATTCAAATAATCGGTTACTTGATCATTATGGAATAAATATTTATTTCTGTTAAATCATTATTATTTGAGTCAATGAAATGGTATTTGATTCAAATACAAAAATTATTGGTTCAAGTACAATTTATTTAATTCAAATAAAAATTATTTGGTTCAAGTAAATATTTATTTGATAATAGTCATAGCAACCGATTATTTGAATCAAATAAATATTTTTTCAATGTGTTTATGTACAAAAATAAATATTAAATAATAATCTTATAAAATATATTTTAATTAATTTAAAAAAAAACGTTGTCACGATAAAAATTCTCCGTCTGTGTAATAAATACTGACACCCCGCTTTTTTTTAACATTTTGACTTTTTTCTTTCAGCACATACAAAAATCGCAATTTTTATCCAATTTTTATAAATAATAACTTATATTGTTGCCAGAGATAAAATTAACGTGACACACGTGACACACAATTTCAAAATTGACTATTTCAATTAGAATTTTTTTCGTATATAAAAAAATTTTCGAAATAAGAGTAATTTATTTGGAAATTCATTAAAAGGCAAAATGAATATACTACTTACTTGTCAGCTCCGGAACTTCCGCCGGATGTTCGCCAAAATTGCCTGGACGAATTTGCCGATGATCTTGATGAAACTGGATTTCTCGTTGAGGCATATCTGCCACCAAGTCTTCGAAATTGATCACTTTCTGGATGTTCAGCAACAAAACGGGCCTTTTTCCGTAGCAATTGCACCGTTAAAATATACGTGGCAACCATTACGATCATTGGTATATAAAAGGCCACCAATGAGCCAAACACAAAGAAGGCTCCATTATTAATCACGCAAATTCCTGGTCCTGGCATTATATTGCTGGGATCAATCAAACCTGTAAATCAATAATATTGAAAAATATATTAATTTTTATTAAATACATAATATATTTATTTATAATAATAATAATGGTTCCTTTAGAATTTTTAGGGTCGCTAAATCCAAATTTAAGGTCAGATTTAAAAAATTCAAAATGGTCGACCCAATATGGCGGAAAAATTTTAAAGTTGATTCGATTCGTTCAAAATTCGGTACTTGGGGGTTTTTTGGGTCGCTGAATCCAAATTTGATCTTAAATTTGGATTCAGCGAACCCAAAAACTTTTAATACGATGACATAATATTTCATTGCATAGAATTTTCTTTCAGATGAATTTTCATTTGTTCGAATTATTATTTAATATAATTTCCATATAACCTATTTTTTGTACTATAGAATTTTTACTTAACCGAAAAATCATTTAACAGAATTTCTAATTGATAGAATTTTCATTTGTCCGAAATTGCAAATGGCTGAACAAATAATCGACAGAAAGATTTCGGCGCGATTTTTAAAATCAACCAATCACAATTTTATGGATAATTTTTGATTGGTTGATTTTAAAAATCGCGCCGCATCTTTCAGTCAATTGTTCGGCCAATTGCAATTTCGGACAAATGCAAATTCTGTCAATTAGAAATTCTGTTAAATGATTTCTTTAGTTAAGTAAAAATTCTGCAGTATGAAAAATCGGTTATACGGAAATTATATCAAATAATAATTCGAACAAATGAAAATTCATCTGAAAGAATAAAATGAAAATTCTATGCAATGAAATTCTACACAATAAAAATTCTTTAAAATGCCTATTATATTAAATGAAAATTCGAGCAAATAATAATTCTGACAAATAAAAATTCTGTGAAGTGAATTTTCGGTTATATAAAAATTTTCTAATATAGGAAATCGGTTTGATGAAAATTCTGCAAAATACTAATTCGAACAAATAAAAATTCAACTCAAAAATAATTATGATAAATGAAATTCCATAAAATGAAAACTCTATAACTAATGATTTTTAGAACATAATCAACATAATCTCCATAAAGAGAAATGAATTTCCAGAGAAATATTTTCAGTTTGCTAATTTTTACCATTATAATAGTAACTGATAAAAAATTAAATTAAAAATATTTTTCTGAAAATTCATTTCTCTTTATAGGGTAACAATAATCTTTCAAAAAAATTTTGTGCAAAATTAAATACATAATTTTTCTGCTTGGGTGAAAAAAAATTTTTTATAAAGAAACCACTATGGAAAAAAATACTAAAACGACAAATAAAAAAAAAAAGATAATAATAATAATAAAATACAATTATTAACAATTTACAGTAATTCTGCAAAGAAGAATGAAAAATTTTAGGAAGATTTTTTTTTTCGTGGAAATGACATTTTTTTATTCACATTTAGAGAAAAATCTAAAAACAGTGGTTTTTTTTTTTTTTTTTTTGGTTCTAATTTTATTTTCATTTCGAGTCACGCGCTCGTTTTCGTGTTCGCTATATATATCGTATAGAAATAAACTTAACTTTTACCTCCGTATATTTGGTGCACTTTATTGCATTAGTAATTATTTAAATTTTCTACGTTTCTGTGTTTAAAATAGTAAAAGAAAAAAAAAGGAAAAATTTTCTTTTTTTCATTTCAAAATGATCTCTTTGAATAAATACAAAACAAAAACGTTCTCTCTTCAAATGTACTATTTATCACAAAAATGTATATATAAAATTGTAATTTTTCTCCTTTTTTAATCAATATATATATTTGACCTACATGAGTAATTATTTTAATTTTCTAATTAAAATCAATATTAATAACAGGCGTGAATTCAATTACATTTGCTGATCCACTTTTATGTAATGGGAGAGAAAAACAGTTATATCTCAGAAAAATAATGGATAAATGATTTGAAAAATTCATCAAAATGTTCAGAATGCATTTGTGACTTTTATATAATATTTATTTGTGTGTAAACAATATTGAGAAAAACAAACAGATGAAAACAAATAAAAAATAAAACCGCTGTACTTTTTATTTGTTTTCAACAAAAAAAAAATATTATTTAATTAAAGCTAGCTTAAATAATAACTTTTAACTACAGGGTCAAATTTTCTCAAATGGATAACCTAAAATTTTCAAAAAGTAATTAATTTTTAATGTTAAATTACTTTTTTTTTATTTCTACTTTAATCAAAACAAGTTTCTGAAAATATTAGACGAAAAAAAATTTTTTTTTCGTCTAATATTTTCAGAAATTTATTTCGAATGTTGTGAATACAGTATATCCCAGGCGCGAAGGGACGCTGGGTTCAGGCCTTTTAAAGACTCGTTGAGCATTGGCCAATATTGACTGAGCCTTGGTCAGTCAGCGGGAATAAGACTCATCCAAGCTAGAATGTAACACCGATTCCGACCTGAAGCTCCACCCTTGATTCAGCATTGGTGACCAAGACTCAATCAATCTTGCCGAATGCTGATTCAGGCTCGCTCAAGACTGCTCCCACTGTTACTTACTATTCTCGCGTTCAATAATTCTTAATAATAATAGTCCTATTAATATTTTGTATTATTATATATTTATAGATAATATTAAAACAACATTAATATTCATTAAAAATATGATTTTAATTTATTAATAATAAGAAGATAAAATGTATTGGAATCTTATAAGAGTCAATAGAACTTATTTCCTTTAATTATTATTAGTAATTTCAAAAAAATGTACTATTCTTTAATTAATTTAATCCGAAGTTTTTTACTATTTTTGTTTCATCACTTAAGATTAACTAACAACACCTGTCGAAATTATACCTAATTTAATTTGAAAAATCTCGCTCGCATTGGGCACCGAACCCACGACCTAACGTTCACGCTCGCAAACCTACTACGCTAACTTGGCGACATTCTGTTAATACTGGTGATGTTTTTGGCGCGCCTTTAAGCTAAATTTGAAATCTTCTTATCGTTAAATTACTTATTTATTTTTAATATTAATATAAAATTATTTTAATTTATATATTGCTGTTAATTTAAATAAATTATATTAAAAATTTTTTTTATTAATGGAATAAAAAAACTTTGTAATGAATGTATAATCTTTTATTTTTATTAAATTAATAACTTATATATTTATAAATACAATAAAAATATAAAATTGAAAATATTTTAATTGTTGTATTTTTAATTACTTGTATTTTTGAAAATACAATTATAGTAAATATTATGTTTTTTACGTTATATTAAAGATTTATTATCTTCATAATGTATTAAATAATAATTCTTTAATTATTACAATATTATAGGTATATTATAATATATAATAATACATAATAAAGATGATAAATTATCATAATATAATCTTAAAAAAACAAAATTTATTAAAAGAAATTATTTTCAAAAATGTGTTGAATCTAATTATTATGATTTTTATTGTATTTACAAATATAATATTTATGAAATATTTATTTATAAAAAAACAAAGAATACTTTTATTGAAATAAATAGCAATATATTAATTTAAATAATATTAATTAATAATTATAAAATATATTAAATTGTAAAAAATATGTTATTTAATTTGTATTGAACGTATATAAATAATTACTCAATACAATTGTATTTTATACAAGATAATAATTAATATTGAATTAAGCTGCGAATATTAAGTCGAAAGTTGATTCAAGATTGAATCTAGACTGGACTCCTAGGCTTTGCTCATGAGGATTCAACTAGTCTTGAATCCAGCATGAGACGAGCATTGGTAACCAATCTTGAACCAATTTTGATCGACAGTGGTATAAAGGCTGCTTTCAGTCTGGGTTACCCACGCTGGGCGTTCAATCTACAATCAAGCCTCAATCCATCGTCAGCATTGGTTTTTCGCGCCTGGGTAGAAGCAAAAAAAAAAAGATTTAACATTGAATAATTTTTTTTTTAATTTTAAACGATTTGTTTGAAAAATTCTGACCCTATAATAATTTTTTAAAACTTTAAATTTTAATTTCTAGTTTACTAACAATAATTATAAATTATTCATTTGAATTAACTTTTTTTATTAATTAAATCATTATAGAAAAAAAATCATAAAATGTATTTAAAAAAATACTTTAAAAAAATCATTTTTAAAAAATTGTATTCATATAAAAGATAAAATAGTTTTCAGTCAGGGCAAAATATTTAAGAAAAACATTTTTATATATAGGTATTTACAATTTATAATCATAAAATATTATCGTGATTATGTTTAAAATTATGAAAACAAATTTTACATAATATTTTGAGAAGAACACATAGACAATGCGCACATTTCCTCTCAAAAGATAATTGCATAAATGCTTCAAATACGTGTCTCTCTATTTATCATTCGCTTTGTTCAAGTATTGCATTGCTGTTGACTGAGTCGCATATTTGGCAAGACCAAGTGCATAGACATACGTATTTCCTAGCAAAGTGGATAACTATACAAAATTCATACGATTTTATTATAATGATGCCTAATTTTCATTTTATATAATGTCTCATCCCTCGTGTATTAGTCAATTTATTGCGCGAAATATTCGAGAAATTCCAGTTACAGAATTTGAATCTGCCGTTGACATTTCGCGCATACATAACAGTTAATTCAAAATATGCCATTCAAAAGTAATTAATTCACGCATTATTACACTTTGGTTCAAAAACAACAAATAAAAAAAATTTCTATTTGTTTATGGAATTTATTTTTAAATTTAAATTTGTAAAAATTTACATTGTTATAAAAAATTAAAAATTTTGTATACGTTACTCAGGATAGGTCGGTGAAGTTCACATCGATTACAATAAACGAGAATTTTAAAACCAACAAAAAAAATTAACTAAAAACTTCAAAAAAACATTAAACTTAACCCCTGGAATAATCCTCTACATTGATATTTTTCTAAAAAATGGACATTTCATTGCACACACACAACTTTATTACAAATTCTAGCACAAAATACAACTAAGAGTGTAGAAAAAAATTGATACCCCATACAAGA